CATCATAATTTATCATTGTAACTAAAATTATTGATAGGAATAGTTTTTATTCAGCAAAAAAGAAATCGCTTAGATAAAAGTATGGTATATTATAATGATAGAAAATTCATAGAAAAAAAATAACTCGTCATTGTGGAGTATCTCAATATCATGCGATGTTCTTGCACGCATGTGTGTAATTTTGCCGCGATATTTTTGTATCTGTATAATTTTACCAATGAACACTATTTTTAATGTAACCCGTACGTCCCATAATATCACGTTTACTATGGCTAGCTTATCTGCTCGCCATGACACTGGGTGTACCAAATTTGCATGCACTACGGGTACTATTGTATAACGCCCTGTAACGTCCATTATCTTCGGCGAGTTGTAGCACGTGCCGTTCTGCTTTAATATACTCCCAAACGCAGTATATTGGTGCATGGAATGATACATATCTAACATCTGCAAGCTACGTGTAACCATTCATGCTTTTGTATAAAATTTGAGAGCTGCTTCTTCTACAAAGATTTTTCTGTAATTAATGAAACAAAAAGAAAACGCAGATTAAGATATAAATTTTTCCTTATTTATATTGTTAAAATAAAATACTATTGCATGCGTAATTGTTAAATTTTCTCCCTCTCAAGAAGTAATTTAAATTGTTAAGTTTAAAGTTCATTTAAAATTTAATTTTAATTATAAATAATAAATAGCTCATGATAAAAGTATATTTATGTAGACTTATATGTATAAAAAATATGAAGAAAAACGATATATTATTATCATACATTTCGATATATGTGAAATAATGCAATTATGATTAAATTAGTCAATTCTTTTCACAATCGGATATTTGAAAATTTTATTTAAGATTATTTTATCCAACAGAAGAGGGAAGGAAAATTGTGGAAAGAAGAACATTAAAACAAATGGCAATTTCTCGCGAGTATGAGAGAATGGGCTAGATTGAAACGGATACAATTCTACACGAATAGAAAACTCTTTGCTCCCGGTTATATCTGTTGCTTTACGAGCCTGAAGAACGGTTTTATTTATGTATTAGTTCATCACCGAAACAACCATTGCAAAAGCGCGGCCACCTGCTACCCACAATATCCTTTCCCCGTCTTATCTTTTTAAATATTTATGATAAAGAGTCGTAATATGCAATCGGAATCGGAATCAAAGCTCAACAGCGTCTTTGACGACAGAGAATTTTGCAAATTGTATCTATTGATGCAGCGATTTTAGATAACATTTGCAATAGAAGATACAAAATTTATCTTATGGAAATGTGATATATATTTCACATGAAATAGCTATATTGGAGCAATAATATTGCGGCAGTTTTCTCAGATTGCATAATAGAAGTGTCTTTAACGTTATATTGGAAATTTGAATCTAAACAGCCGTAAAAATGGATCTAGACATATTGATTAAGACAATTTTTTGAAAATAAATAAATTAATAATTTAGCAATATATAAATAATACATAAATATATTTTCTTGCTTTCTACAGTTTATGTCAGTTAATAATACACAATAATATATAAATATATTTTCTTGTTTTCTACAGTTTATGTCAGTTAATAAAGATATTGATTGGTTCAGGCATAGTTTATTTTTTTAGAAGATACTGCGATTCGAATATAAAATAACTGAGTCTTGCAAGAAAATTTATGTTTGTTGTAGCTACTATATATATTGTTTTCCGCGTTGATGCTAACAGTAAATGCATCTAATAATTAATATTATCGGAAGAAACAGATGATTAATTTGGTGGATCTTACGACTTAACATTTCAAACTCGCAAACTTGCAAGCGCGAAATTGTAGAGTAAACTTTCTTGCATGCTAGGATGTCTCAGATTTCTCGTAAATCTTGCCTATATATGGTGAAAATTTATTATCTGTTTCTAGATGGCTGAGAGAGAATTATTAATGTATCGATAATATTCTAAAACCAATAATATATTAGGATTATCTAAATTTAATGTCTGCAAATTACCATTGATAAGTACATGTTTTTATTTTCTAAAAAAAATATTAGTATTGTTTTAAAAATCACAAAAAAGTACATTACATGATTGTTATGTATTTATCATGTAAAGTAGAACTCCATCTCTGATTTCACTGTCAATGTACTAAAGATGATTACTCGAACGTTAATTACACGGAAAATTAGCTGCATCGAAGAGCCATCAGCGGAGGAAGATTTCCGGAAAGCATTTAAGGATCCAGATAACGGACAAGAACAAGATCAAGGAGGATGTAACGGAAAGCGGGATAATGGATTAAACTGTACGTGATGCATTAATGTTGTATCAACATGTACGCGCACATGTTGGAGTTTAATCGAGGCGCATTCCCGAACATTACTAATGCATCGAGTTTAAGGTTTTTTAAAGATTTATTACGCAATATTTAAAATGGCCACGTGTGCAATTATTGAAAATTTAATGAATACACTTTACACGAATCTTTTTCCTCTAACATATTTTTTATTTTAATTTATATGAGGATCTTATTGTGCGTGAAAAAATAGGGAGATACAGAAAAATATCTTTTCGCGAAAAGTAATTAATAAATAAAGTTATAAAAATAAATATTGATAATTAGTTATAATTTTCGTCAGCATACTTTATATGTATCATTTTATCGATGCTTAATTAATATTGAAAACTAAGTGTCAATATATTAATTTCAAAACATATAAATTAACTAAATATTGTTTTCTTGTTATATAATATATTATAATTATAAATGTAATTAAAAATTACTAAGATAAATTTAAATAATTAACTTTAATTATTTAAATTTAATTAAAAATTAATAGTTAAGTTTATTAAAATGAAAGAGAGAAAAACGTTCAATAAATGTCATTTTAATATTTTAAGTCTTAAAAATAAGAAACATTTTCGATAAATGAATTTCTATGCAATAACACATACAAAACAAGCTATAATTTTTAGACATCATACAAAAAAAGACATATATATGTTGTATTCATACATAAAGTTGCTGCACAAATTGATAGCAGTGTATAAATGTAAACATTTATTGCCTCGTCCATGAGAAATAATGTCTTTAGATTGAGACTAAAGAAAGAAATCTCTTCTCTGCTGGTGATTCTCGTCCCAGGGGTCGGAAGCTGCGCTATTCTTAGAAATTCTTAAGCTTAAGAAGCTTAATCTTCTTGATCAAGGTTGCGCGTGTCCTCGAGGGTTGAAATGAGGAAGAAAAACCGTTGTTAGATCTTGTAGATCTTGTAGACCGCACAAGAAAATGTAATTTCATCTATTAAGTACCAACAGGATTGTTTGGCCCCGACCTTTTAACCACCCGTAGATTTTCCGCCGTAAACACAGAAAGCGATTTAGCAGCGAGCTTTTCCACGCTTCGTTGTGATTTCAACCGACAACTTCTGTGTGTTTTCTTTACTATCCGTTCTTGCCGTAATTTTCTATTTCTGTCGTATAAAGCCGGAGCAGGATTACGCTTAGTCGAGCAAAAATATTTGGCAATATGTTCCGATTCAAGTCATATAATATCTCAATGTGTACGTATGAATCTCGCTTATTGTTTTTTTATCATACATTGGATATAGTCCCGTCAACATTTGATGATAATCTTCCTTATATTTATATTTATCTATATTACTTATATATTACTTATATTTATTTATATTTATTAAAAAGTTCTCGGTCTAGAATCTATTAAACATGCTACTTTATAAAACGAGAAAATCAATACCTTATTTTAAAAAATCAGGACAAAATTTGTCAAAGAACCTTTAAAAAACCTTTTTTAAATTTGCGCATATCTTAATTAATGCCTCAATTAACGTTTGCGGAGCAAACACTGCGAAACACTGTGTACTGATGTTGTAATGTAAAGAAAATATAAACTGGTTACTGCTCGTAAACATTTCACATGCGCCAAACGAATATGAGTAATAAATAAGGATCTTCGTCCATCTTGCGTCTTTCCTCATCTTCCGCCCAACGTTCTCCATTTGTAGAGAACGATAGTCATGTTAAACTTTACGTTGATGTTTCTGGCTGTATTACTATGCGTTACAGCGAATGTTTACAGTGAACCGAGCGCATTCGTATATTTACACGAATATTTACGGCGACGGCTTGGTGATTTTTATATTTTTTCTCTGTGTTATGCGATCCGCTGTTTCTACATTTCTAGACATTTCCACTATTCTAGTGACGTGTCCGAGTCTATAATATCAATCATATTTATTGCATGATATTTTTTTAGCAACTAAAGTATTTTAGAGTAAAGTTTTCAAAATGAAATTGTATTTATTTATAAAAATGAAGAGATCTCTCACTCTCTTTTTCATTGAAAAAGTAATTTAAGAGTCTTATAATTAAAAAATTTTAATGAATTTAAAAATTCGATTCTATTAGATTAATAAATTTTTAATTTAAATTAGGAAATATTTAATATACATAATATAATTTGAGAGATATAATTATCTTCTACTTATAAGCAGATAATTAATTGTAAAGCTAAGAAATCTACTAAATCCAACAAGCTAAAGTCCTTAATATTTTCGTATTTTTCGTATTATTCATATTTTTATATTTTTTCTCTGTGTTATGCGATCCGCTGTTTCTATATTTCTAGACATTTCCACTATTCTAGTGACGTGTCCGAGTCTATAATATCAATCATATTTATCGCATGATATTTTTTTAGCAACTAAAGTATTTTAGAGTAAAGTTTTCAAAATGAAATTGTATTTATTTATAAAAATGAAGAGATCTCTCACTCTCTTTTTCATTGAAAAAGTAATTTAAGAGTCTTATAATTAAAAAATTTTAATGAATTTAAAGATTCTATTAGATTAATAAATTTTTAATTTAAATTAGAAAATATTTAATATACATAATATAATTTGAGAGATATAATTATCTTCTACTTATAAGTAGATAATTAATTGTAAAGTTAAGAAATCTACTAAATCTAACAAGCTAAAGTCCTTAATATTTTCGTAGGAACAAAACGGGACCAAGGTGAGAAATGTGACAGGCAAAACACGCGGAGGAACTGTTCATTTGCGTGAGTGCATTCACACCATTATTGCAGCGCACGGTACGAGACGATAGTAAGTAGACAGATAGAAATGTATGCTTATACATACATAGTTAGGTGGTGGCCAGTAAACTGGCCAGGCACTCGTAAAATGCGGCGATCGCACGACCGTCATAAAGATTTCCCATCGTTGGCGGGGGCGTATGCCAGTGGGGTGGCAGAGGTTCCAGGGGGATGATAGTGGGACTGAGAAGTGCACCCCGCGGACTGGTGAGATAGCCACCCGTCTGCCCGTCTCACCCTTTACATTCCGCAGCCACGCCGCGTACGCAAAGGGATCGGGTATTTATGGTACGGCCACATTGATTCGTGTTAAGCCGCCGGTACTTGACCTTCCGCAGCGAAGTATTCATCACTACACGACCGCGAATGGTTTTTCCATGTCGATCGTTTAACGTGTAACAGGTCCGCTGCGACTCGTAGAGAGATTTTATTGGCAGTTATGCATGTATTATATATAATGCGAAAGAAAGTGCCAAGCGCTTTAGGCGCAATTAGGCTTCAGCAAAATTAATTGGACTTAGTTTTATTTTCTAGTTCTATTTAAATAAATAGAAAATAGGTGAAAAATTATTCCATATAATAAATATACATGTTTTTTGATATATATATTTATTAAATAATTAATAAAAAAAATATAATAATTATATTGTATAATTAATATACAATATTATTTAATAATTTATTAATATAATAATAATAATTTATATAATATTATTTAATAATTATTTAATAATTTGTAAGATATTAATTAATATATATCGATTATATGTAATTAATTTAAATACAAATAAAAGTGGTATAAGTAGAATGAAAGTGGCAATGTCGAAAGTATTTAAAACTGTCGAAGAAATCGTCGCGGAAATAAATTATGCAAACCTAGCGTAAGAAAGAAAAGCTTCTTACCTTTGCTAGGAAAACGAACAAGAGTGCTTTCCTGAAATAATTGAAATATCTCTTACAGATTGTAAAGGATCGTCACGAATCCTTTGCAAAAGCCATCAGAGCAAGAGTGATATTAGTAACAGCTGTAACGGCTGTCGGGCGGAATCGTGATGTTCTTAATAATCGGAAGTAAGAGAGTGTCAGATTCGGGAGAGATGTAACTTCGCGGTAATTAATCGTCTTTGAGAAATCCACCGTTGTAGATGAAGACAATTCGACTCAACTCTCCGCTCTAATTAATAATGATATCTAGAACCGGCGTAATATGTATGGAACGTAATGTATATAGAGATTCAGGTGCGCAAGTTGAATCGGATCGTCGCATTGCATCCTTGTATTCGCCCACAGATTTCTGCGGATGGCGAAATTTAGATCAATTTAACATCGTATTAATTATTCACTTGTCGATGACATTTATATTATATTGTTACACGTGTCATCTCTCCCTTTCTCTCTGATTTTATGTCAAAGTAATAATTAATATACCTGCTCATCAACATAAAATTAAAACAAAATTGTTTGCACTAAATTAATTGCAGTCGCTTTAAATTTAATATTAATAAAAAAATAGTTAATAATCAATACACGTAATGTATAAATGAAAGATGTGCAATCCTGCATAGAGAATGACTTTCGCCAAGGCATCAGAGAGATTTAGATCAACCGCAGCGGCTCGGCTCTCCTGAATTTCCTACACGTCCCTGAAGTGCCGCGGATTAATTTTTAAGAACAATACTACGCCATGTAGAAGTACATTGTAACTGGAAGGAACGCCTCGTCCTTCGAAACCGTCTGCGACACTTATCCCTGACATACTTCTAGAACTGCAACCCCCGTAGTCTTATGTGCTTTTGAAGAGAAAATCTCAGTAAAATATAAAATATAATGATAACAGTGTGTATATGCAAGAAAGTTAGATGACAATATGACGTAAATTAGATATACAAACTTCTTCGTATCTGTTCTACGTCTCGCAAGATTTGCGTCTTGTTTGTATTCGCGTCTCTCTAATCTGACTGGTCTGTGCTAGGTCTGGCACACGTATCATAGATAGAGTATGTTGGGTGAAGCAGGAAGTGTAATGTGCGCACCTTGTGTTTCCTCTCGGTACTCCCTAAACTCTGGAAGCCCTCTGTGAAGCCCTCTCACTTCCTCTCCTACCTCTTCTCCTGATTCCTTCTCTCTCTCTCTCTCTCTCTCTCTCTCTCTCTCCCTCTCTCGCTGTTTCTCATCCCTAGATTCTCTTGAAAGCTCATGAATTTCCAACACACCGCCATCCTGCCCGCTTCGCGTCACGTTAACTCGAGTACCACGTTTGTCTACGCAAACACTCGCATATTTACGCGAAGGGATACACATAATTAGATACGTAGCTGCGGGTCCAGGTCGGCGAGTTAGCTCGTACTGGTGAAGCTTGTGCATCTCTATGTTCTGTGTTCGCTCTACATCGAGATGACCGAGCATCTGCGAAAGAATTTGTTTCCATCTACACGAGAATGTTGCGGAAATTTGTCGACGAGTAAAATAAAGAAAGAAAAATGATATTGCGGCTATATTGATCTAAAAAAACTTCTTTAGAAAAAGATAAAAAAATAAATAAAGTATATTAAAAGTATAGAAACTTGTATGTAACTTGTAATACTTGTAATAAATAAAAATTTTTCATATTTTCAATCATATGCGCTAATTATATATGTTCTAATTAAATGCTGATTTTAATTATAATGTAAATAAATCATATAAAAATTTTATATCTTTAAATAATGATAACAAATGTCCTAATATTTCTAAAATATTGAATATTGATTATTAACTATAATAATAAAATAATATTATATTACTACATATATATATATATATATATATATATATATATGTATATATATAAATAATTACTACATAGTAATAAAATAATATTAATATATTAGTAATTCGCTATAATGATACTTTCATATATAATACGTATTACCATTTAATATAAATAGAACACGTTTAATTTAAATAGGCCACACACACACATGCTTTAAAATATATATTATTTATATTATTAATAATATCTCATTAATATGTTTATATTTAAATTCATTATAAATATAATTTTGCATGAATATTGTGATTAATAGTTTAAATTATTAAATTAATAAGTAATTTGATCTATAATTAATATAAAAATATGTCAGTCACAGATTATAAATCGCAATTTAATAAATATTGCAAATGCACATGTAGTATACTTTATATATTGTAACGACAATATCTATATTTATACAATCTTACAATGCAACATATGTAAATCTTAATATATTTTGTAAAAATAAAATTTAAAAAAAATTGACATTTTATAAATGCTTAAATGAAAAATAATATTAACTAATATTATATAATAATAATATAACTTTTTCCTTTTCAACTGCAACAGTTATATATAATTATGTTTAATTCTTAACAATTCAAAAAAATTAATAAATATATTTTCACTATTTATTACTATTTATTACTATTTAAATTTATTACTATTTAAATTTGATAATTATTTGAATCAATTAATTAGTATGTCAACTAGTTTTTAAACTTTCTATCATTGAAGCAAACTATGTCCAATTAACAACATCAATACAATATTAATGTTTTTAAAAATAAATTAAAATTAAAATTAAATTAAATATAAATTAATAAAAATTAAAAATAAATGAAAAATAAGTTATATCTTTAAAATATTATATTAAACATATATTTTATAATATATATTTTTCTCGATAAATTGATGAGCTGATTCGTAAAATGTGCGATTAAATACAGTTTTTTATAAATGTGTAGACAAAATAATATAAGAAATTAAAGTAATATTAATATTTTTAATTTTAGTATTTAAAATATCGCATATACGTCCACTATTTATGCTTCGAATCTGCTTATTATTTTGTTTATTTATATAAAATATTTCTGCTGAAAAATAAAGAGAAATTCTGACGACACAAATATTCATAATCTGCACTGGATATCACAGTTTTTAATTCATTCGCGGTTCACTAGTGATTTATTTATTTGTGACATGTATTCGTGACAGTTTGCAGCTGCAGCCGTAAATTACGAGTGCGGTCAGAGATATAAATGAAAATTGACGATGATAGATCGCTGAGTTTCATTGAAATAGAGAACATCTTCGAATTTTATTAGTTCGCACATAATTTTTTTCGTGTTTCTTCTTTCAAAATAAATAAATTTATAGCAAGATCAATTTATATGTGGTAAGATAACTTATTAGTTTTTTTAAATCGTTGTCTAGTCTTTTATGCTAATCCTACAAATATAATCAAAAGCGTGAATCAAATAAATTCTTGATTCTTATCATTTCTTATAAATTTATAAACGACTTTTTCTCGGAAACTTAAGAACAAAGAGATCCATCTTACATCGCGACTATCAAAGAATTTCGTAGCTGTGTATATGCATGATACGCCATAAAGTTTCTACCAAATATCTGGCGTTTAACGATGAGTTTTCGCCGGTGTTCTCGTACTCGTAGTGGTCTGAGGCGGTAGCATTGCCGGGATAACGGCATAAATTCGCACCCACCTCGCGGCATATATCGTCGCGTACTTTATGCTCACCCCCGACTACTATATCTTTGCGTCTGGCATAAGGGTGGAGGCATCGTAAGGATCGTGAGGAAACGTAGAGCATTTCAATTGGTTACTTCGATGCGTTCAGTTGCACTTTCGCAGACAAGAGTCTTTCCGCCTGCGTCTTTCCGCCTGCTAAAATTTGCAATTCCCACGCGTGTAACACCGAAACTGAGGCGCGTGCATGTTCATATTTCCACTTCTGCTAGACGCCTTCCTTTGAATTCGACGCGAAGAAAAAAGGGCCAAAGCCGCATATACTGTCGAGGAAGAATAACGCGGCCGATAACGCCGCCACGATGGATTCTCGAAGGAGCAGTTTACGAACTTGCGTCAAGTAAACTCGAAGAGGGCTTATCTTGTAGCCGGATAAGGGCAACGAATAAGAAAGGCAAAAGCGCAAACTTGACACGCGGATTTGACTTTGCGCTTGCCCGACGTATGATCTCTCTCTGCTGGTGTGAGAGAAATTATTCAAAATTTTGTACGAGAAATACTTTGTACGTATGCCCGCAAAATCTTGAAAATCTTGAAATGATAAAAGTTAGCCGCAATTCATATGAAAACGTAAATTTGACCTGTAACTATTTATAAGAGAGAAAATATTGAAACCTAATAATAATATAATAATATAACCTAATAATAATATAATTAATAATTTTTCTTCTCGATGGAAAAATTATTATAAATATCGCAAATTATAAAATTACCTATTTAAATTAGAAATCACAAGAAATTATGAAATTATCTATTTAAACTAGAAATCACAAGAATTTGTGGAATTTTAAATTTAAAAGATAATTAAATTATAATTGTAATTGCTCTAAAAATATATAGCTAATCATTTACCATTTTACACACGCAATAAAAGAGCCTTCGGGCTATTTTCAGTGATAAACGTCAAGAATTCAAAGCCGTCGTGATTTTCCTTTCACTGGCAATTCCTGGTCGTAGTCAAGAGGGGGTTTATCCTTGAATTGAGAATTTCTTTTTTGCATAAAGTCGTGAATCGTCCAGTGCGTTACAAAAGCTCGGATAACGCGCGCTTTCCTGAGAAGTTTTTCCTTCTTCATCACTCTATCTCTTTGTCGAATATTCCACCGGTCTTTTCAAATTCATTTTCAAGGTGGATCGAACACCGATAATAGCAAAGGGAGGGTGTTCGCTTATTTGTCTGCTCAGTCTGGCGTATCGAAATTGTTACACCGCGGCCCCTCTCATCGTTAACGTAATTGTGTCGTTTACCAATCTAATGATGTGTTTAGTTGAATCCTGTCGGAAGGTGAGCATTCAATCGTAGCCAGTGTGTATCGGTTGATCGAACGCAGCGGACCGTCCATCGTCGAATATAGATCGACAGTGCGATCGAAAGCTTATTTCTCAACTCATTTGCAAAAAGTCCGATAAAAAAAGACGCGAGGAAAAACATTGAAGAGAGAACGAATAAAATTAAAAGAAAAATGATTAAGAGGATACCAGAGTGCGCCAGACCAAAAGTTTGGTGCCCGCAAGAGGATTACTACTTTCCTGAGGATGGTATTTCCATGTCTATCGCTTCTGCCTTCCCGAATCAGACCAACGAAAAGAGCGAAATTGCGATTTATCACAATATCGAAGTGATGCATCAAGATGGTGGATCTTTCGTCCCACAGCCTTTCAAAACACACGTCATCGACGCCAAATGTCACAGGTACATTAATTAATAATTTATAAAGAGAATTAAAAATTCCTAAGATTAGTACTTTAATATTCAAGGTGTACTTTAATATTCAAGGTGTTCTTTTATTTTGAGTGTATATATAAGTCTTAATGTTGAAAAAATATATGAATAGAATATTAAAATATAAAAAAAGTGTAACAAAATAAAATAAGTACATTAAATAATATGTCAGTATTATTACTTTAACATTTTTAACAATATTTAATATTTAATAATATTTAAAATATAGATAGAAATAAAATTTTGTTATAGTAAATGTAATAGTAAATTTATCAAAACATAAAAAGAGATAATTTAGTAGTCGTTTAAAATACACATTAAAATACAGAATTTTTCAAGCAATTTTTCTCATAGTATGCATACATTAAAAGCAAAAATAATCACATACTGATTATTTTAATTTAATTTTGTTTGTAATGGAGTTTTTTCATATAAAAGATTTTACGATAAATTACATAATTTTTTTTTATTACATAAATCATTAAAAATTGTCCATAAACAAGTGTTAGCAAGTAATTGTTTCATGAAATCTTTAAAAAATTTCTATATAAAATTTAATAGTTACACATTTCAATATAGTAACAGTTATATATTTTACAAATGTCAATAAGATAGACACGTTTTCCATTTGTCGCAAATACGTTGTAATTTCCGATAGATTAATTGACAGAAGCATATTTGGATTCACCATCGTTTCATGTCGCTTTAAAGCCACCGATTAGTGGATTTGATCGGTCGGAAATATTGAATAATTTGGTGCTAAGCTGTTATTCTGCTTGATCAACTAATTAACTAATCGTGCAGTAAAAGCAATATGATTCACAATACGCTGTTCGTATCCGCATAAACGGAATTATTATGTAATAATTTTTACGTAATATAAGAATACCTGGTTGACATTTTTAATGTTTCGAATTTTTAAAGAATTTTATCGTAATATAATATATTATATCTATGCATACATATAAATATTTTGCCTGTTTAAACAGAAAAATTATTAATTTAGAATAATTTATATATTTTTAATATGTTTAAGAATAATTTATATTTAAAAATTTTTAATATTGTATTTTTAATTTTGTTTCATGATTTTCGTTTTGTAATTCGTTCTTTATCTACATAAAATCTATTTGCAAAAAAAAATTAATATTCTCGTGATTTAGGTAGCTGTAAAATTATTTATTTTTTTTTTAAATAAGATCTTATCTTATGTAATTTTAATTACTTTATACACGCTTTATCATTTAAATTATTAAATATTTATAATTTGAAATCATATGCATACAAATTATAGTTAAAATGTGCATATTATTTAGGCAGAGAAATATAACTTATTCTTAGAAATATATATAGGTATTTTTGTAGAAAGAAAAAAAAATATAACAAAAAAAAATATGCTTGCTAAAAAAATATAACAAAAAAATAAAATATAAATTAATATTAGAAAATAATATATTAAAGAAAAAAAATATATTAATAGAAATATATTAATAGAAAAAAAATTTATTGATTCATTCATTTTTCATCACACATTTTAATTTTAATTTTAATGTTAATTTTAAGATCATTTATATTATGTGTAATTACTAAAAATATTTATATTATGTGTAATTACTAAAAATATTTCACTGTAATTAAAGAAATTACAGTGCTAAAAAAAAGTAATAGCCGTGTTGTAAATACAAATAATTTGTATTTAAGATTTAAAAGGTAAAACTTTCTAAATTACAGTTACCGCATTTCTCCATTAAATAAAAAGATTGAAACAAATGTAACATTTAAAATGGAAGCCCGACCGATTCGGGATAAAATGAAAATATAGAGCGCGACTCTAATGAAACAGCATGCTCGAAAAAGAATATTCGGATAAAACATGTCGGTACCCGGATCTCGTTCTGGACGTTGTTCATGTGCATTTTCGCGGGGAATTTCGCGCTCAGTATTCCTCAACGCGTGCACGCGCGTGCCATTTGTTCGGATCAGTGTCTGGGCAGAGATGCAGCACGGATGCGAAGTCAAGAGGAGACTGCAGTTACGAGCCGCAACTGCGACGACGGCGCTCATATATTCTTTCAGCGCGTGTGGTCCAGACGCGGTGGCGGTTAGGGAACGAGAGTCACGCCTAGTCCTCTCAGGAGATATATATTCCAGATCGTCCCGACATTTTTGATCGCCAAGAATCGAGAGTGTATTCCGACCGAGTGATTTTGTCCACATTTTTCGCCAACAATACATACCTTTCCAAACGCGTTTTCCTTGATATTAAAAATTTTGTATAATCATTTTACTTTCCAGTGAAATAATTTTAAATTATTAAGTTAGTAAATTGTGGCTGTTTAGATAAATCATGCATTGTCGATACATTTGTAAAATATTTTCGCGTCCTGCTCATTATTATTGGGGTCTTAAAATTTACAGTATGTATGTTATAAAGTATATACCATCAATTAGAAGGATTAGCAATAGAGATGCTCGTAAAATTTTCGTCGAAACGACAATAAATCCATACCGAAGTCGAAATATCAAAAGAACTCAAATCGGTAGCGATTTCTTTTGTGAAATATATAAACTTCCATCTTTCCAACTTTGAAAAAGCATCAGAGCGGCGATGCTTGGTGGCGAGGCACTTTCCATTTGGAAAATAAATTGGAAGGTGAATTCGCTTTCCTAAAGTTCCTTTCTCGCCACCGCCCCCCGCGTAACAGCAAAAGGAGCAAAAGATAACATGTGGTTTTTGCCTCGGAAGCTGGACGAGCGAAAGAGGGTTTACATTGATCAGCAAATCCCATCGGTTTCGCCATTAAATATTTACCTTGAACAGGAAGCCCGGATGAAACCGTTATGCTCATGGCTTTGCATCACGCTGCAAATGATTCTGTGATCGTACTCAAAAAAACGCAATTGGTTTCTCATGCGATTGATGGTTTACTTAACGAGATATTTTACTGTAATCAGTTTTTGCTCGATGTTGTATGCACAAGTTAGTTGATATTGAGTGAATTGCTTGAAAATGTAATTTAATCTCCATCAGCCAGTATTTATATTTTTATTAAAAATATGATATTATTTTTTAAATATGATATTATGTGTAAAAAAAGAATATAATATTATTTAAAAATTAAAGGCATTAATTAATATTCCTAATATTATATCATAATCTAACATACATGTTATGTTAGTAAATATGTATTGATATATATATATATATATATATATATATATATATATATATATCTCGATATTAGATTTTGATCGAAAATTATTTTCTCCAAAAAAGTTATTATCATAAGTCATAAAGCTGTTAGTCAAGTAGGCTAAATCACACACACAACATCTGTATATATGAAGTTATTAATAATGAGTTTATAGAAATTAATAACGCTATTATCACGTAAATCTTAATCAAAATCATATTTTTAATTTTAAGAAATTTGATAGATTTAATAACACTAAAGATCAATTGTTTTTCCTCCCTTTTATCCATCATTTTGGCAACTCCTTATTTGATTCACATCTTCAATTTTCGAAGAAAGTTCGGATGTGAATGATTATTTATTCATTCTCAAGACGACAAGCGCTCAATTTGTCAAGTTTGCGCGAAATTGAGTCGGCCGTTATAGCGGTACGTTCGGTGCCGCGGAAAGCGGAACTTTCACGTAGATTTAGACGGGTCCGCAGTTCAACACGTACGTGAGCCCTGGATCGAGGATGCCAATGTATTTACATAATTGTGCGTACAAATTCCGAACTTCGCCTGAGAAGGATTTGCCGCGCATGACGCTACCGTCGCGGCGAGCGCGAAGTCTAGCGGAGAGAGAAAATCGTATCCGATGAATTATTTATGCGAATGTGCGTCCTTTTAAAAGCCGTCGTAATTCCCCTGCAATGTCGGTTGCTAGGCGGCGGAGCATAAGTAACAACGTTTCATGAACAAATCCATTAATTTTGAAGAGGCACGAATAACTTGGGAAGTAACACTGGTGTATTTTGCTAATTCTGACCGCAAAAGTAGCTATCAATAATTACAATGTACCACCGGGACACAGGATGTTATTGAGATTATTTAAAAACGGACCGGATTTATCTTTTGTAAGAAGCTAAAATACAGGAAACATCAATCAAATCAGAAAGATACTGGTTCACATAATAGCTTGTGACGTAGTGTGGATATATCTTTTAATGAAATTTAATAATCTATTATTTTATTTCTAGCACAATTTCATTTCCAATAAAATTCCAATACAGAGGTAGATAAAGAGAAAGTATAAACATGCATATTCTGGAAACTGTGTCATGCACGATTTAACAATAATTTAATTTTCATGTATTTAATAATGCGCGAATTCTAAACATTTATGATTATATATCTTTTCAATAAGAATTAGATAAAAAAAGATAAAAATTTTAAATCCTATTTTTATGATATAGTTGATTTAATTCTATTATAGTAAATAAAAAAAATATTTAAAATTACAGAATTTAAAGATTTATTATTAACAATAAAAAGAATAATAAAAAAGTTTTATTATTATTAATAAATTTAAATATATATATATATATATATATATAATTTATATATATAAATTTAAATATATATATAATTTATATATTATTAAATTTTCTGAATTTATAAAATATATATGTCTTATGACAAGCAGAGAATTTTTCGTGAAAGAATCAAATAAATAATATGTATAACAAATATAATATGTATAATAAATATTTTAATTGGTGTCGCGCAATTTTCAAAAAATGTATACAAATATAAAACTAACATGCGTATCTTATTTAATTATCTTATTTGATTATATATTTGATTATAATTTGTATGCTGATAGAAAGAAATGCATAGTTTTTCTGTGACACAATTAGCATTTTTATTTTTGATTATAAAACACATATATTATCTGTAATCTACTTATTGCATTAACAATTATAATAAGAAAAACATTTCATCGATTTCT